TTTTTTTAATTAAGAATCTTAATTTTTTTTTTTTCGTTGCTTTTAATAAGTTAGATTAGAATCTAAGTTTAAATGTAATAAACTTGTAATACTATCAATTTTTTTATTAAAACTCAACTAAAAAAAATTACTTGCAAGTTCTTCAATTTATTTATTTATTTATTTAGAAATAATATCTCTTTTGTAACTAGTACCATAATTAAGCAATAATATTTTACCTCGTTTTTTTATTTTTTCTAATATAGTCATTTTTTATATTTTTTTTATTAGATTATCTGAAAGAGAATTATAATTTAAATAAAATATTAATACTCTTAATTTTATATAATGGAAATTTAATTATTAATTAAGTAAGATATATAAAAATATTAATCTAGATAGTATATACTTGTAAATGCATAGAAGTTTCTAAAATATTAAAATAAATCTATATATTCTTGATAATATGTAAAATAATATTATAAATAATTGTTGTGAAAGATGTAAAAAAAATCAAAAATATTAAAAAATAAAGCAAAGAAAAGGTATCAAATTTGAATTAATACTAGATAGATGATTAGATATAAGGCAATATATAAAGTGATCCAAAACTTATTCAAACAAGACCAAAGTATTCCTTCTCTTATCCACTTATTTATTCTATATTAAAAAGGTTATATACAAGCATTTAGAAGAAGTTCTAAAAGTTTTAAAGTGTTTTAAAAATCTATAGATTCTTCTTTAAAATCTTTTATAAAACTATAGAAAATATCAGATTAATAGAAGACTACTGAAATTTCTAATGGGTTAAAGAAGATATTGAATGCCTATTAAAAATAAAAAATAAAATTCTATAACACACTCAAAAATTTGAAAATGTGCTTAAGGAAAATATTTGTTGTGCTTTCATTACAAGTGCAATTTTTTACTAATTTGATATTAAAAAAAATTGAATTTATTTTGGTTTCAAATCCTATTTAGTTTATATTAAAAAAATACTATTTTCTAAATTTAAGATTAAAAATTTATTTTTTAGAAAATATAAAATTTTAATTCTTTCTATTTAATATTTTAAATAGTATAGTCATAACTATTTATAAAATTATTTTAGATAGATATTACATTTTTCATTCTTCTTTTATGATTAAGACTATCTCATTTTCTGAATACTTCTAGTACATCTATTTATTATTATAATATTTTAGATTTATTTTTCCATGCTGCTATATAGTATTTTTTTTAAAAGCTTAATTAAGAAAATAGCTCAAATTTTATTTAGTTGATTTAAATTCTCTTTTGCTTTGATAATAAATATTTATATTTAACTATTTAGATAAATAAATATCGTCATTTATACAAAATTAAATATTACTAATATATCATTAAAGACATGAATCACATAAAAATCTAAAAATAAAAATACAAAATTATATTACAAAAATAGAGAAAGTAAATAATTAAAAGATAGATATAGAATTAAAACTAGAATATTTATTGTCAAATATAAAAAAGACTAGGAAGTCTTGAACTAAGATAAGGCAAAAGAAAGGCATTAAAAAGAGTGAGGAAGGCCTCACTCTTGCCTCTTTATACATTGTCTATTGAAGAATTATATTGTGATGTTTTATAGGCCATATGATAAATATTCAACTTCCAAGACAAGTGTCTAATGTGTAGGGCAAGTTTCAAACATGTACGCCATATGACCAACTTTGAGTATAAGTGGCTAAAATATACAACATGTGACCAACTTATAGGCTAAGTTGTCAACCTACCAATCACTTATAAATACATCTAAGTCTGTATAGCTTCTAAGAAACTACACAACAAGATATCAACAAGTTAACTTATTTTTACTTGATTCTACCTTATTCAACTTATCTAAGTAAATATAGTAGTAAACATGATTTATTATATATATATATATATATATATATATATGTTCTTAAATAAATATTTTAAACAATAAGAAATAAAAATGTAAATATTAGATGATTTTTTATGGTGCTTGAAATTCACTCGAAACAAGTAAAAATAAATCAATATACCAGATAATAGTTGAAACATGATAACATGCATTTTGACTGATTTCTAAGTTATTTTGCCAAGATGATTCTTTATATTATATTATTTAATATTAATTAATATTTGATTCTACATTAGACAGATACAAGTGATTATATAGTTTTTCTACATATAAGAAATTTTGATACTTTTTATTACTTAAAAATACTTTCTTTCTTAAAAAATAAAATAATAAAAAATAACCATTTTTAAAAATTTTAGAAGACTTTAAAATATTAAAATCTGTTTAATAATTATTTTTATTTTATTTTTAAAAATAAAAATAAAAGATTCGTTTCCTTTTTACTTCTATGTTAGTATTTAATTTTTTTTTGTTGAAAATATTTTAGAAATAAACTCTATAATCTTCTATTATATGTTTTTATTATAGAATTTGAAAAATTATTGCAAAATAATATATGTTTCTTAATTTCTACAAATATAATATTAGATGTATTTACTGATAATTTATATATAATTTCATTACTGAATACATGAAGAAATAAAATTACAAAAACACTTGTTGCTGCAACTAGTTCCAACCAGTCTTTTGAAACACCAGTAATAATTAATTCTAGAGGTTCAACTGTTAAAATAGTTTTTTTTAATAACTCTATTTTAAAAAGACATGTATTCAATCTAATTTCTTTGATCAATGATTATTAAATTTTATGTATATATATATATATATATATATATATATATATATATTCTAAAATAGTCTTGGTTATTTGAAAAACAATCTTCTGAAATACCTCTAATTTCAAAATTTTAATTAAATCATAATTTCTTTAAGGCTAATCCAAAATTCATTAACATAAATATTTTCTTTTAAAACAAAATGTTTAAGAGACTTTATTCCAATCATTTTTTTCAAAAATTCTTGCTAACTTTATTGAATTTTAATTTTTTAAACCCTAGAATGAATTTTTCATACTTATTTTTTTCTCTACAAGTTTTATCTATAAATTTTATAAATTATATGACTTTACTAAAACAATTCCTGATATATCTTCATTTGATAATTAGGCCTTTTTAAAACCTTCGATTTTATGTATCAGGAATTCATTTTTTTAATTAATTTTTTTAATTATTTATAATTATTTATTTGAATTTTAAAAAATTATAATTTTTTGGTAAAGAATGCCCTTGTAAACCTTCATAGTTCTTCACATTTTTATTTATTTATGTTTACAAGAAGATTTTATTTTATTTTTTTAATATTTTAGCAAATAAAATACCTGATTTTTACCTAAAATCACCCTTATCATATTCCTCATAAAAACTATAGATCTTCCTATTCATTCTTACTGGTTATTTTTTTAGAATAAAAATAAAGTTTTTATTTTTTTTATTTTTTTATTGCTGATCAAATACTTAGTGTGTTTGTTGCAATATTTTGTTCCATCTTATTTTGTTAACCAGTTGGATCAAATCAAAACTAGCACAAATTATTTTCATGTTACTTGCAAATTTTCATTACCTTCTTTAGATTTGTAATTTTTTTCTAACATTGGTTACAATCTAAAAAAATATTTTGTAATGGTATTATTATTTTAGAATCAAACGTTTTCTTCTAAATATCAGGTTCTTTATCAAGTAAATTCAAAATTCAAGTATTCCTGCCCTATTACATTATATTTATTTAAAACAATAACCAGTAAATACTTTGGCTCCTATCTACGGACTTTTCTTGTCATAAATGAAGACTTTTTGAATGTTATTTTTGAGATTCACACAGTAGGTTTTTATTTCTTGTAAAAGTATAAATATGTTAGGGTCAAAGCTAAAGTTACTTACATAATAATCTAATCAAAGTAATGTTAATGTTAAAAAAATATGGGTTTTCTGAACATTATTCAATCATTATTAATAGTCTAAAATAAATTGAAAAAGAATACCTTCAATATATAGGATACTACAATTTATGTGTTTTTTTGGTATTTTTAATTTTTACTTATAAATATTATTTAAATTTTGTGACGTTTTCAATTTGTGATTTAAAAATGAATTGCAAGTATTTCAATATATTAACACATAAACATTTTATTTTTGAATTTACTTGTTGTTATATGTGCAACTACAGTTGATCAAAAACTGAATAACATCAAGTTACAAATAAAAGCATTACTAAAAATTATAAAGATATCTAAATTGTTCATGTTTTATTATTCTAATTCATTGGAGGATTGAAAATCATAAAATTTGACCTTAAGTCTAAACTTGCAAGTTACTAAATTTTATATAAATAGTTATATATGTATCTACATTAATCATCTAAATTGTATTTGAACGTGTGTGAGAAAAAAAAAATATATATATATATATATATATAGGTAAATGTTAAATAGACCCAAGTTTTCAATCAATTAATCTACCTATCTTAAAAAATAAAAATCACCTCTAGATTTATTTCTCCACTATTAGATCTAAAACCAATGAAAACCAACCACATTCATCATGATTACCATATTTTTCATTGTGGATAGATCAATTTAGTAAAAACATAAGAATATTTAAGATTCTCCTATAAATAATAGAAAGTTTCTATTGAATACATAAATGATGTTAGAGATATTTTCAGGAAAATAAACAAGAAAAAAAAATCTCAACTCTTAGAAATATATTAGATAAAGTATTCATTATTTTTACAGTAAATAAACATAACAATAATAATAATTAAGTATTAACATATTATTTTAATTAAATTAAAAAAAATGATGAATTCATGTTTATTTAATATAAAATGACATTACAAGAATAAACTAGCCAAATAAAAAAAAGCCCATAGATTCAATTAGTTTAAACTATTGTGAGAGAAAACAAGGTTGGAACATTGAATGGATGTATTTGCAAACATAGATGACCAGATATTTCGTGTTAGTTTTTTCATTCATCCATTTCCACGTTGCTCTCAATGGCATCGAGGCGAGGAAAAGCCAGAACCAGCAGCAGCGGTGTGAAAGAGGGGTACAAGGCTAGGGTTGGGTGCCGAGTTAGAAGGGTGCTCTTAAGCCAAGCGCTTGCTCCGCTTCGGTCCTTTCCAACTTCAACTCCGTCGTCGCCAGCCTTGGAGCTTCGACGCTTCCAACGCTTCAGACGCCATGGGTCGCCGTGAGTACTCTTCTCTCTGTCTGTCTCTGTTCTAGCCAGAATGAAGCGCTCTTGTATTATCCTCTTCGTACTCCGTTCAATGTCGTTCTGCTGTTCAGTCGCCATTTCTTTACCCTAATTATTTTATTTTATTTTATTTTTCTTTTCTTCTCTCCGTACATTCGTTGTGGGTCGCCGCGAGGCGTTTTCTCCATGGGGAGTTCCATTTTATTTTACTTTCGTGCATGAACTTGGCTTAGTGTTTCGGGTTTTCTTGGGATTTATGAATTTGGGAGGATTTTAGGGTTTTTGATGCGTTGGCTTGAGTTTACAAGAGTCGTTTGTTTATTAGAGTTTTAGGGTTTCGGGTATTCTTTGGGTTCCATTCGGTTTTGAGTGGGTTTTGGATGATTTCAGGTCCGGCAAGGTGTTACAGGCAGATCAAGAACAAGCCATACCCAAAGTCCCGCTTTTGCAGGGGTGTGCCTGACCCTAAAATTCGTATCTATGATGTGGGCATGAAGAAGAAAGGAGTTGATGAATTCCCCTACTGTGTGCACTTGGTGTCTTGGGAGAAGGAGAATGTGTCCAGCGAGGCTCTCGAGGCTGCTCGTATTGCCTGCAACAAGTACATGACCAAGTACGCAGGAAAGGATGCGTTCCATCTGCGTGTGCGTGTGCACCCCTTCCACGTGCTTCGTATCAACAAGATGCTTTCGTGTGCTGGAGCTGATAGGCTCCAGACAGGTATGAGGGGAGCTTTCGGTAAGCCCCAGGGTGTATGTGCTCGTGTTGCCATCGGACAGGTGTTGCTGTCCGTGCGTTGCAAGGACCAGAACGGAGTTCACGCTCAGGAGGCCCTTCGTCGTGCGAAGTTCAAATTCCCTGGCCGTCAAAAGATTATCGTGAGCAGGAAATGGTGAGTATTTTTTCATCCGTTCAGGATGATGGTTCTTTGTTAGCGTAACACATGATATGAGCATCAAGTAATGAGTTTTTTCATTATTTGGGATGTAGTAGCCGAAATTTCTCACTCGTACTTGATGTAACATGCAGGGGATTCACTAAGTTCGCCAGGGTTGACTACGTGAAGTGGAAGGAAGAAAACCGTTTGGTGAATGACGGTGTCACCGCCAAGGTATACAATGCTTCGCTGATGTGCATATGAGCTGTACATGCTTTGCTTGAATCAGTGCGGAATTTGTGCTTTTTCTGAATTTCCTCTCATACAGTTTTTCCGAGAAGTTTCAATTTTTTTGCGTTTCATCTAACCTGTGCTTTATTTCTAACTCTTATGCTCATTTTAATCCACTTTATGTTGCCTGAAATGCAGCTTCTTGGATGCCACGGACCCTTGGCCAATCGCTCTGCCGGAAGAGCATTCATTGACGCTGCTGTTGCCACTCACTAGCCAGGTTCACTTATGTCCTGCTTGTAGAGTTCAATGTATTCAGCCTTGACTATCAATGAATGGATTGTTTCAATCCAAATTGTGATGGGATTGAAGTATTTTGTGGAGTATGAATGGCTGTTGCATGTTGAACTATCCGCTCTTGCACTAGCCTTTGATATTGTAAGTTTCCTAATGTTCTTGGACTAAGTTTTTCGTACATGTGAACTCTAAATGCTAGAGAGTCTCGTGAATGACATAAATCTTGTGCGCATTTGCCTTGTATTCCTAGCAACAATCAGTAGCGGGTGTCTAGATTTTGTGACAGTCTTGTGTGTTGTAATATTTTTCTTTACTCCAGAAAACCCATTTAATGCGTGGCTTGTTGTGTATCTGATGAACTACGGAATGGTGGTTGGATATTAATTTTGTGCATGCGTATACAATTTTTTAAGAGCACTTTAGAAGGATCTGCATGGTGTTTAAGTGTAGATTAACTTTTGGCAATTACCATAATTCGAATCGAGTTCCAGGTTATTTTGATCACCGAATCGGGATATGTTAGTTTTCATCTTTAGTTGTAAATGTTATGAAGAAACAATGAAGATAAAGCATGTCGCTTTTTGAATCATTATTTGTATGTTACTCAAATCTCTACGTTGAAAAATGTGTTAAATAAATATTGAGTTTGCACATTCTGTATAGATTCTATTGCAGATGCGCTCATCCTTATCATTCACCTAGAAACGTTATGTTTGTGTTTATCATTCTATCACGAAGTGCATCATATCGATAAACTGTACAATGTAGTCTTTAATTGTAAGTTTTACCGTTATTTGAATTGTATGAATTTCTGTCACAATCGTCTTATTCTCCGCATGTATCCTGTTTCGAAAATCATAACTAAAGGTAACAATAATCGTGGATGTGAACTTTAAGTGAAATAATCGTTATATTTTTACTGTAAGAGAACCAGTCTATAGCTACAATCTTATGTCGCCCATATCGTTAATATCTTGTTTTATATTTTGATTTCCTATATGAAAATCCACCACTTATTTAGCTGAGAAGGATCACCTCGTGGCATATTGTGCAAGAGTTCCGAACATATACAATTGATTTAAATAACGATAGGTTATTGACAACGTTGGTGAGGTTGTTCTAACCTTTGTATCAAAAGTTGTAAAAGTTGTTTGGGACAGGAGGATGAACTGTAGCATAATTGTACGCAGAACATACTTCAGCTTCTTTATGATATTCTACAATTACACGCTTTTGAATATGTTGAGCAGCTCTGCAAGCACCCACAACGAATAGTGCCTAATGTAGTGCACAAGCTTCCTCCAGGTGGGTCAGTTTCAGAGACTACCCTGTTATTGCCAAGCCCTGTGGCTCCTTTGAATCTGCAGCCTCTGCAGCCATTATACAACGCCTGCTGGAGGAGGAACCTTGTTGGTTGGGTACATTGGAATGCCTTGCTGTGGAGGATATGGTTGAGCAGGGTATCCGTAAGCAGGGCCACCTTGTTGCTCCATGGCACTTCGAGACCTGGCCCTCAGGCTGCCCCGTATACATGCAATACAGCAGTATAAAATAAGAAGCGCACCGAGAATGGACCCAACGATGGATGTCACCACTTGCCATTTCGAAAACCGATGCTTTACACCTGCACATGGTAACGAAACATCAGATATCGATGGGTTGTTTATGTTGATGAAAAGGAAAAGCTGCCATGCAAAACTTTTGCCTTGAATGGTTAAATGATCGAATGATGCAAAGACTGACGGAATGAACTGCTTACATCCAGTGTGGCCTTCTCCATATCGTCCATCTCCAGTATATCCGCGTTTGCAATTGCAATAGTACGAGGTGGCGGTGTCAATGCAGAACGCATTGATGTCACATAGTGCTCTCCCTGTCCTGCATTCATTTACAACTGCACAGGACAATATGCCATGTGTTTAATTGAACAAGAGTTTTGTGAACAAGTTCTTTATATCTGATAGAGTATCTTGAATCCCAAACTTGCTTATGAGGAATTTATCACTTTTTCAACCAATAAATTTAGTACTAGGTGTTTTCCCCAAGATGTACATTGATCCATGATAAATTTGAAATGCATTTACCCGCATGTTAGGTCGGACAACCTGGATGAACTGAAAATTTTAGAGGATAATAACAGTATTCCATCGTACAGAAGCATCAACACTTCCTGCGATAACGAAAAGAAAAAAGAAAAAAGAAAGTACACGAGTGCCATCATTTACTTTGTGCTTCTGCGGCTTGGAACTGTAAGACTTCGCACAGAGTCAGCACAGTCAGGAGGACTAGTATCTTCCGAGCCCATCCTTCCATTTCTTAAATATATTTCCTACATCATCCGAATAAATGGAGAATGAGATAAACAGAAAACAAAATTTCAGACGAATCAGACAGCAACTAGTAAGTGAAGAGGGGAGGAAGGAGCGTTGTCAATCTACGACAAAGAGGCTTGCATTGACCTCACTGCTATTAATACTTCAAAAGAAAGAATGCAACGTTGCCTAAAGATCTTGCCATGCCGGTCGAAGGGAAAACCGAGAAAATAAACATCAATAACTGAACGAAAGTAGGAAGACAAAAAAAGAAACAAATAAAAAAATGAGAAAAAGGAAAAAAGGTGGTGAAGCATTTGCAACCTGAAAACTATTAGTGGCATCACCAATGTTTGAAGTCAACAGTGACAACTCCGAACCAGCTACTTACAAAGAATACTTTCGCTTGAAAGAAAGAATCGCTCGACTAGCATGGAGAATCTGTCGAACCCGAACCAACCGCGGTGAGGAAAATCAAACCTACGCACACTACAAAACTACAAACCAAGGCTAAAGAATTTCTCGAAACTTAACAGACACCATGCGCTTCTTCACAATCAAACTTCCGATCCCGCTAGCTGAATTTTCCAACCGTGACGAACCGTAAAAACACAGTTCTCTACATCCCCGTCCCACTCCCAAACATACAGCCATGGAAGCAACGTCGACAGATCGCGACTCCTTTCCTGACACTCAACACCAACAAGCTAAGAACTAATCCCGAAGATCCTCTCTGCAGACTTAGCAAATCAACGTACATCGCAGCGGGAAGCTTGAACCGAGATGGAGCGTAGCGGGACAAACCAGTACTTTCCAGGCAGTGCATTTACGTGACAAAACCAACCTCCGTGACACATTGAACTCTTGCTAAGAGAGTTACAAGATTCAGGTTAGCAAAGTACCAGCACGAGCTATGTCGAACCGTGACAGAATACAGAAGTCTCACAACCTGCTGTAGGTCACCGAGCGTTGAAGACCATGGCTAGCATATAAGTTCGCGCCGTGTGAAGGTCACCGTCAGCGAATCAGTGAGCAGTAAATTGAGGGAGCGCCTTAGCATCGGTCTTTCATCTTTTGTAGCGTAGACTTCTGTCCCCAGAAGGACAGCAACAATTAGTGCCGCAAGTTGGATGCTAAGCATCGAACAATGCCGCAAAGGAGTGAGGCGGGGGGATCCAAGCTCTCTGTGAATCTGTCTGTCAGTGCACGACACGCAACGTCGATGGTCCCAGAAACAGCGTTCATCGATGGCCGTTCCCCCGACGAACACGACGATATTTTCCTCTTTCGAATTACTGTGGCGAAGCGAGATTGTTCAGTGGCATTCGGTCGCGATCGGTCGCGGTGTGGAAAAAAACACAAGAAACGACGACGACGATGACGACGACGACGATGACGACGACGACGAAGAAGAAGAAGGTTGATATAAAATATGCGTGTAACTTGAACGCGTTTCTTAATTGAACAAAATGAGCACAAGTATGTTATCTATTGGAGGAAAGGAAATGAAAAATTTCTAAGATACAGTATCAGTTAAAGAGAAACAGTTCCCGGTGAGAAAAATTAACACGAAAATAAACAACACTGGAAAATACTTACGAGATGAGAAATTTATACACCTAATGAATTTGATATGAGTCCCCGATGACGTGGCCTGATAGTTCCGCCAGCATTATTGTTGGAAGTCCACATTATTCAAGAGATGATTGTCCACATCGGATAACGAATGAACGTCGGTGGAAAGTGTTCGTTCGAGAAACACCATCCATAAATCATCCTACGTTCATCCATGTAAGATTCCATTCCAGAAGGCGGGACAAGACAGCGCGCTGCCCCAAGACGCTTGCAAATTATGCGTCCATATAGTAGGCGGGAAAAGCAAAGGTAACTTTGAAATGAAAAAGTGCTGTAGCCATGGCTTCGATCAGAGCTGTGGCCTTTGAGGGCATTAGTGATGTCGAATCCATCGTTGGCGGCGATGGCTACAGTGTGTATTGCTCGACTAGTTGTTGCTCCATTTCTAGGACCTGGTTGAGCTGTGATTGCTAACAGTAACAGCAACAAGGAAACCAGAACAAATCAATAGCTGTGTCACTTAGCCGATCTTTTGTTCTGCCTGTAGAAGCCAGCTACGCCGAATAAAACTGCAGCGTCGTTGCCTGCAACTCCTGAGCGACAAAATGCAGCTGAAAGTTTTCTTAAAATTTTGGATACTTTGCCAGATTTCGGCCTAGCTATTTAATGTTCTACCTTATCTTTGAACCTTAAGTATGTTTAATTGAATGTGTATGATATTGTGAAAAACGTAATTTACGTATTCTCCTTGATCGAGTACCTTGTTCATGACGTTGCTGTGTCTCATTCTTACCTCGAACTTGGAAAATGGAAAAAAGCGGAGTGACTCCGCGGTACAAGCTCTTTACTATTGCTGCTTTTTGACCACGAGAACGTCGATGGAGCATGTCTCAAGCATAATACCCGAATTGCAAAATGATGAACATACATAGAAGGTGAACAAAGTGTAACCGATTAAGCAGAGGCAGACTTCATACAGTCTTTTATTTCTTTCTTACTGTTTTCTGAGTTCAAACTTATTGCCTGTGAATATATCATTTGATGAGTACCTACCAATTTTCAGCTCTTTGAAGTCAATGAAGGATTGTTGCATTGTCTTCTTTGTTTGCAGGTACAACAAGTTATTGCTAGGGGAGCACCTTGGTAAATTCCCTGTTCCTCTATTGATGAACACTATTCATTTCTCCATGCAAGCCATTATATCATCACTCCTTGTACATTTTTGGTGTGGAAAAACCCAAAGTCATATTCGAATGACATGGAAGGATTATTTCATTAGAGGTACGAAGCATTTCGTTCTCTTGCTTCATACGTTTTAAATACTTTTACATTGTCTTGCAGAAGCTTACATTGGTTTTGTTTTCTATGAGTTTTTCCATGCCATGAAGTAGCTTGGGTTATCAAGTATTGTGGAATTCATTTTATGTAGAAGTTTTGCTGTCGAGCGCTTGTGCCCTTTGGGTAGTAATTTCAAGATAGATTGTTTTTGTGAACGATTTTGAACTCCTCAACTTTATCTTATCTTCGTATGCGACTTGCTAGAGTCAATAAATTTGACATTGAAACATCAATGATTTGGACTACAAGATGACGCCTTTTGTTCTATTTGGGGCGGCAGTGGTTCCAACAGCTGTCGCAACTGCATTGGGTATTGACCTGAGCAACATCTCCATTGTAGTTATTTCTATTTCTTTTGCTACCATGGTAAGGTTCTCTATTTTATTCTAAAATCCGTTTTTATTTGTTGATCTAGCCTAAGTGTGATGTTTTATGCTCTCACGATATGAATGGTTCAGAAGAGAGTTTTACACTTAAGAAGTCTTGTATCAAGCAGGTTTGTTAGCCTTGTCCTGGTATACACTTTAGGTGAGCACGCTATTCTGGACTTTAAAATTTTTGTGAACAGTTATCATGGTGGGAGTTTACAGGTCAAATCTGGAGCACCTGTATTTCTTCTCCTCTTTGCGTTTGCTTTCAAGTAAGTGAGATGTATTTTGCTATTTTCTTATGTTCTGGTAGTATGTTTTGATGCTGCACAAAGCTTGCAAATGTCTTTCCAGTGCACCCAATGATTAATTGGTAGTCGGCTTTTGCTTTGTTAGTAGTGGATGCAACATATTTATGTAAGTGGCATTGTGTATGAATCTGCGGTTTTTTTTGTAAATATAACCGTCAAGAGGTACGATGTAGGGTTTTTTTTAAACGCGTGATTGCATTTATGTACTTTGGCAGGTTGGAAGTGCCCAGTTTTAAGCTAATGGGAATCATTGTAGTGATCTCCTTGGGGGTGTTGCTCACTGGTAATATTTACATCTCCTGCCTTAGTTCTTTGACTTTGTCAACATCTTTTCGACCGTTCGACTCGATACGCTTGTATTACATGGGTAGTACGGCCTCCATGCATGTGAAAGCTCCAAGCGCGCAGAGGGTCTGTAATTCTAGATTTTTTATTTTATTAAGCAGTTAAAACAATTAGAATTGAAGTCTCGAAGTCTGAAATAGTTACCTAAGAAAGCTATTTGTTGTCGTGACACTCTTTCTTGAGTGACGTTCTCACATTGTGTAGTATGTTTTACTACCTTTATCCTTATGACCTCGTGTGGTTTTATTTATGATAACAACATCTTAAAGGTCGAGAAGTGTAATTATTTATCCATTCATTTCATACTGCTGTTGCTAAGTTTTAATGATTTTTAAGAATTTAAGTTATTGGACATGCTGGGCGTGCTTTCTATTTCTGACCTTTTGAATTGTGCAGTTGCAAAGGAGACTGAGTTTGAAATTCGTGGATTCATTCTCGTGTTGTTGGCAACTGTTATGTCGGGTTTTCGGTGGACCGTGACACAGCTTCTCCTGCAGGTGCAATATTTATTCCTAATGTTATAGCTTCTGGTTATCAGCTACTGGTTCACATTTTCTGAGATGTAGAACATACATGGCTTGTACTTTTTACATTTCTGGAAAATCTTCTGTGAACAGAGTGTACGGGCTCGTAGATGTGTTACGAAGGCTTAGTTGTTCAAACCTTACGAGTGAAACGAGATGTCCATATCATTAGTAAGTCACCAAAATCGTATGTTTCAAATGACCGCGTCAAATGTTGGTATGTTAGTGTTGCTGTAACTCTATTTATCTGATTAGGGTCGTGTTTCTTTTTTCTTTTTTTCTGGCCAATCGCTTCTGTATCTTGCTTTTGAAATCATCAACCAACTAATGCAGAGAGAAGAATATGGTATGTCATGCACTCACTTATTCTGTTAGTTGGTATACCTATCCCTCTTTTTGTTCTCTTGGTTAGTCTCGATCAAGGGTCGTGTAGGGGACACAATAGTTTCCTTGTATAAGCGGCGTGGCTGAAGTTCTTTGCTTTGGTTGCTTTGGTTTCGGTTCAACTGATCCATCTGTAGGTAAGCGAGTCACAGAATAAACAAAACTGTTCTGACGGAGTGGGTATTGGTCTAAATCAGGTTTGAGCAACCCGTTTGCAGCAATGAGTTACCTTACACCCGTTATGGCTATTATTACTCTTATATTCTCATTGGTTTTAGAGCCCTGGCACAAGCTTGGTGAGACGGCTCACTTTGATACCCCACGTCATTTATTTGATAGCTGTGCGCTGATGCTGCTTGGAGGGCACTCGCTTTTTTCATGGTACATTTGTTATTCCTAGGCCTCACTTCGACTAGCTAGGATGTAACGTAATCATGTAGTCTGTACTTGTGAATTTTTTCTGGAAGTTGTGAGTTCAGTGGGTCACATGAAACAAAGTCGGTGCATGATGGTTGTTTCGCTCAAATAAAACAACTCTCTTTTAGGCGTGCTTGCTGAATCACCTGTGGGCTTTCGCGGTGCTTATGATTTTTTGAGGTTTGTAGGTTATGGCTGAGTACTTTCTGATCGCTGAGACAAGTGCGGTGACTCTGACCATTGCTGGTGTCGTTAAGGAGGTTGTGACCATCGTGGTAAGTACAAATATGTCTTCTGGTTTTCTGATGTATGTACCCTATTAGTATACTACTATACATCATCGAATATGTGGAAACAAGGAACTGAATCCTGTGCCCTGGTCTTCAATTTTAAAATTCTATGGGATGTCATATTGCTATTAATGCGTTAGTAATTTGGGTTAGAAGTTCTAGTGACTACACTGCCGTTATTGGTGGAGATATGGTTAAGGACCAAGGCACTCTGTTTTGTTGCACTTTTTATGCGAGGTTCACACCGATTGTGAGCTTTATGGATAAAGATGAGCAATTTTATTTTTACTGTTCATGACATGACTGGGAGCATACTTGTTGTTTAAATCTCAACCGTTTGGGTTAGTAAGGAGGATTTATGTTATTGTTGTTGATGCGCAGGTTGCTGTCTTCGTTTTCAAAGATGAGTTCACGTGGCTGAAGGGCATGGGTTTGGTTGTCATCTTCATTGGTGTTAGTCTCTTCAACTGGTTCAAGTATGTCCTCTCCCCTTGAAAGTATATGGGTGTAGCATATGGTTATTTGTTGTAAGGAATGTAGTCAGTATCTAGTGAATGTTTAGGCCCAGGATACGGTATTGTTTAGACTTTCATCAGAATGTTGTTCACAAACAGATGAAAGACAGCTTTAGCACCTAAACGCCCAGCCTTAATATGAACTTGGGTCAGATGTAGGAAATAGATATTTTTTTAAATGCTTCGATGTGGGCTTTGCTGAATATATTTTGACTTTTGCGCAGGTACCAGAAGCTGGTCGAAGGGGGTCTAGGTGACCATACGCTTGAAGACAATCGAAGTTCTCCCAAGTATGCGGTTGTCGACGATGAAACCGCCGAAACCTTTGAACTTGAAGATGACGTTGATCACGTATTGTAACATCGTACGAGAGGTTATGCTCCACCGGTCTAACGCTCACAGGTTTCAGCACCGTGTTTGCAAATTTATCTTTAATTAAATTCTTGGCAAGTCCAAGAGATTATTTTGCAAGGCATTCCTTTTGGATCAATTTTGTTAATAATTTGGGAACTGCTGCAATGAGCAGAGACGTGCGGGAGCAGTTAAGTCAGGTTTCGAGAAAGAATCCCGCTTTCATCATACGAACTTGAATATGGTCAGCTAGTGGAGGTGGCAGGAATCTCAGTTACATAGAGCCTTAATCATGATATTTGTGTTCCATAGCTCACAATTAGCGTCTTCGACAGAGGCCATTCAAGAGCTCAGTTAAGATGGGTTTATTATTGTCGGCAGCTTGTTGCCACAATTGTGCATGAAAACACTCTTGGTGTCATCGCACTTGATGACGGACTCCAAGCATTCCAAGATCCGTGCCTCCGATGACGATGCGTTTTCATCCTCACCAGTGTATCTTCTCCTGATCAGTATGACCGTTCTTCACTGAAAGTGTCGAATGCGTAATCTCCTAAAATTCTCGAGTACTCGAAGTTACTGGCAAGGTGACTAGCATTAGCGACGTCAGCGGGAAATTATCGTCATCTACTTAGCTGTTGGGCATAATGTTCAAGGCCCTTCAATAGTTTACGACTGTGAGATTGTGTAGCAAATATAACTGAGGAAGTGAGCATCGAAGCAAGAGCATGTCTACACTAATCGAGGAGTTTGTGAGGAGCACGCTGGCTCCCGGTGTTTTGCATTCTCGTGGCGGCAATCCCTAATTTTGTTCTTTAATTCGATTCATTCACATGTTGAAAAAGTACAGCCATGGGATTCGTGACATCGGAACTAGGCTCATTTTTTTGATATCTCTTAGTTTGCGTTGTTGGAAATCGGTGCTGTTTGATGTTCAGAGGATCTGTTTGTTCCAGCAGTAGAAGTGCTAATGTGAGATGTGATGCATGGAGAGGACCACAATGGAAGATTTCAGGTTTGAGATGGCAACGCGAACCAATGTGTGATATATGCGTTGATGCGTTCGGCAGTCTAGTTGTGATGATGCGATGTTGCATTGTAGTGGTAGTCCTTACTTCATATTTCTTGAGATATTTTTCGGTATGCTACTAGTTGAACTTAGATTTAGCTCTACGTCGGTGTTTCCAATTAGTAATTGTTGCCATCTCAGATGCTGTCTGGTGATTGTTTCTTCGATCGACCAATGTGGATAAGATCGCTAGATTTCAAATTCAAATTGGAGATTTTCGAATTCAATCGGTTTCCATGTGCATTGTTGCCGATTCTCTCCGGTCATTAGTATTTTGCATCGTAATTCTGCTGAACAGTAGGGTTGGTCAGTCGTCGGAGAGAGTGCTCTTTAATCTTGTGCTGTATGCGACTTGTGCTGCCAACTCTACTGATGTAATAAAACCGTGTTGTTCACATGGAGTGTCAGCTCGATTAAATACACCACTATTACAACGGGTTGCCGTTGTGTTACACCTTGGGAAAATCTTTCGCACTTTTTTAGACTGCCTTTCGACGACACAAAACATTCCATACAATCAACACGATAAATATTTTTTGTCTAAAACCTCAATTTTAGTGCAATCGTTGGATGAGTTGATAGACTTGTAAACATTTTCAGATCATGTGAGGTGCAGTCAGTGGTGGAACTGATGTTGCCGGCGAGGTTCTGTGCTTTGACAATCATTCTTTTACTACAATTGAAGGATGCTTATATTCTAATTAGAGAATGTTTGTCTTGTGGATTCATTATTTCAAAGCATAGACAGCAACGAGTAAATTAGTATGATTTGTTCACTATGATTTGAGAAGTCAAAAAAACAAGAGTGTTATACAACCATAATTATTATTGCATTTCACTTATTGAACTTATATCTGCTTTTGAGCTTTATTCAAATAAAATCTACATGGCTAATAGAATTTTGTTTTATTGATTGGTCTATCCTCATGGTATGTATTGTGTCATATGTGCTATTCTTGATGATTAGAAGATTGCATGATTTTCATATGTTATGCTATTATTGTTCATTTGTCTTTTGTTCTTATTAGCACAAATGTAATGTATGTACATAAAATATAGTGTAGGTTGATGCTTGGTGGATACCTAAAGGGAAGGTAGAAACAATACCAAACTCAAGGCTTTTGTTATTGATAGTGGACATAAATTAGTCTTTTTTTTCAATAGGAGATTTTTAAAACAATTAGATGTCTAACAACGAGCTTGACTCAGTGAATAGTGTTCCATGAAGCATAGATAGTATCATCTTTATCACCAAGAATGAATTAGTTATCATATGAACAATCTAGGAGTTTTAAAAGTATGTACTCTTAATCAAGGTTGTATCAAAAATATAAACATTGTTGGAGAGAGTATTCATTTCTTTTAATTTATGATCATTTAAGTGAAGTTAAAGTCTTAACTTTATCCTAATCTTTTTTATTAGAAAGTATTAGTAGAGTAGATGAACACTTCTATAACAAGCAAAAGGATCTTAGCGATCCTCTTTGCATTAAGGCATGCGACTTATTTGGACATGTTTTTTGTTTGCATATTTTGCTAATATTTATATCAAAGATTACATGTAGGTTTGCTAGGTTGAATACATTATCAAAATTATTTGCATTTCTACTTTTTGCTTGTCCATATTGAGTGATAGTGATTACATTAAACTTTTGATAATTGAGGATGCAAAGCACTCTCTATAGGTATTCCACATATCAAATTATAACATTAACCTATCAGATTATGTGAAACATGAATTTGTGGAATTGGCATTAATTCTATATAGAATTATACAAGAGCTAGAAGATTATAGAGGAAATTTAATGTGTCAATCTTAATCAATTTTGTGGTTTGAATAATTCAAGGTTTCATCTCAAATCTAAATCTTTCAAATGACTGATTGTGTCCAATTCTTCATATTCATATAAGATTGTCATGCTTATTGTTACATAGCTTCTTCTTTGGGGATATCAATGCACTTATTGCATGAAAATCTTTGCTTCATTGATAGTAACTCTAGTTGCCACTCCGACTGCTACTAACTTTTTTGCTTCAATATATTCATGATATGAAATAAAAATTGGAATGAATAGAGTAATATTTCTTTTGAGAAGATACTTAAATTTTTTTCAATTGCGTATCTTTGATGGTGCCTCCAAGTTATTAAGCATTGAATGTACTAATATGTTTTATGGTTTTTGCTTTTAAGTTTTTTAATTTAATTTGGATACATATATAGAATTTTTTTTATAATGTATGGTTGATTAATTGATTGGTTTTGTAATCATCTTTTTTTTTTTTTTTTTTTTTTTTTTTTTTCTTTCTTCTAAATATAAGAACTATAATTAAAAAAAGTAATATAAAATTTTAACAAAAAGTCAAAGATTGAATGGAATGAAGCCTATTATAATTGAATATAAAATTAAATTTTATTTTTTCCCACTCTATATATAAATGTGGATAATTTAAAATTAATTTATAAAATACTATTAGGTATTAATAAGGAAATATTTTAAATTTATACTTACAAAAAGTTTAAGAAATTCATTCTTTACCATAAAATTTTATATTTTTTTAAAATAACTCTCATAAGATTTTGAGAAAAAGTTATGCAAGTTCGAAACAATCTTCATATTATACTATTTTATTATAAAAATAATTACTTAAAATAATATTGTTATCCAAAGTGGTAATGCAATTTTCAAGTTTTTTTTCTTAAAACACATTTTAATCATTTTTTAGTTGTAAAATGAATCTAAGAACCAAAAAAATATTTTGGAGCATATTTATATAACTCTATTAGTTTATTGTATGTTGTATGAAAAATTATGCTTTAATAATAATTAGATTCATAGAATTTATTTATTTATGATAATTTTGTTGAAGAAAAAAAAAAAAAAAATTTATACATGCATAAGAAATGTTTCAAAAATAAAGTTATTTTTATCAATATCCAAAATAATATATATGTAAGTAATTACTAATACCAAAGGTAGTCAAATCTTTTGACAATGATGCCAAGCTTGAATAACTCCACAAACTACAAGTAATCAAAGATATAAGATTATCCAATTATTTTGGCAATGATGTCAAGTTTAAACAATCTCTCATATTCAAGATACTCAAAGATGTGAGAATAACCAATTCTTTTGGTAATTATATCAAACTTAAGCAATTACTAATATCAAAAGTATTCAATAATGGTAGGACTCATAGTAGGTTAAGTCAAAATTTTGAAATAAAGATGTCAATAAAATTAACTACATTTACATAATTTTAAATTCTAAATTCCTAAATTTAATATGCCAAAAGTCAAAATCCTAAAATCAAAATCAAAGCAACTATATCTTCCAAACTAGGATCTTATATGACAAAGTATTTATACTATCAAAATTATGAACCTCAAAAATAAGAAGGTATATTATGTTAAAATTGAAAAAATAAAGGTGTCAAGAGGATAGAAATTCTTACATAATTCCAACTTATAAATTATAAGTTTTAAATCATAAACTTATCATTCACTTTAAAAACTAAACAAATTAGATATTTTATTTGTATGCTTATAATCTTCTTATCTATATAAATATCTTATCTCATTTTACACTTAACACTAACTTGTGAGTTTATTATCTATAGATTTTTGACTTGTTTAAAAAAATCCCTTCCTAAGAAAGCATTAACCATTCTTTTTGATAATGATGTCAACCTTGAGGACCTTCCTACATCAAAGGTAGTCAAAGATGGAAGGTTGTCTAATTCATTTAGCAATGATGTCATAATTTAAACATCCAATCATATTAAAGGTAGTCAAAGGTGTGAAGTTGCCCAAATCATTTAACAATGATGTCAAACTTGAGCACCCTCATATATCAAAGGTAGTCAAAGGTGTGAGGTTGTTCAATTCATTTGGCAATGATGTTAAGCTTGAGTACCACTTCATATTTAAAGTAGTCAAAGATGTGAGGTTGTCCAATTCATTTGGTAATGATGTCAAGCTTGAACACCCTTGTATATCAAAGGTAGTCAAAGATGTGAAGTTGCCCAATTCATTTGGCAATGATGTCAAGCTTGAGCACCGTAATATATCAAAGGTAGTCAAAGATGTGAGGTTGCCTAATTTATTTGGCAATGATGTTAAGCTTGAGCACCCTTGTATATCAAAGGTAGTCAAAGATGTGAGCTTGTCCATTTCATCTGGGAATGATGTCAAGCTTAGGCAAATTAGTACAAAACATCTTAAGTTGACTAAATGTGTTATCAACTTCAAAAATCTTCCCAAGTCATCTCTTGATGTGACATCATTATCATTACAGATTAATAATCGAAGTGATGAAAAGCATGGACTTTTTATTTCACTAAACTTAATGCCATTCACATTGTTGCAACACAATACTTCTAACTATGACATGACATGATCCAAACACACTACTAAATTAGATTATTTATATTAGAAGTCAACTTCATATATACACAAATTTCAATACAATACAAATTAAATAAATCAATCAAGATATTTCCATCAATATGCATTTCTAACACACATTAATACCTAAATGATACAATCATATTACATCTCTAATCTTCAAACCTTCATTCTCGCCTATCCTTATTAGTTCCATACATGCCATTTGAATGATGGTCAAGTCCATTACCTTTTCACTGTTTACATCAAATGCCTCTTCATTCATGTTCCATATTTGTGTATTCTTATATTCTATTTTTGTTTCAACAATCTTTCTATCCATGTCTTATAGTTGATCATTCATTCTTATAAATCCATCTTTATCCACTTTTATCAATTATTGATTAATCAATGCATTTAATGTATATTCTATATCTTCTTCGGTTCTTTTTTCTATGTTGAACCATATTTGCAATGCTCTTTCTTTCAACATGCCTTCCAAAAACACATCATTGTTAAAAAAAACAACATATGTCCAAAAACATTTTCTTCTCTTCAACTCTCAAGTTATCAAAACTTACTCTCAATATATCCCAAATCTTATAGTCACTATTCTTTTCATCTCCGTCCAATTGTCTATCCCTCTTCAATCTTTGAAAAACTCGCTCCCAACATCTCAACTTCTTTTTGTCTCTTAAATATGTACCCCTAACCTTCAAACTCAATGGTAGGCAATTGTATGCTTTTACAATCTTTTTGCCAACTACGACTAGTTCACTATGCAATTTGTCTTCATATCCACAAGAATGAGTAATAAAAAACTTCAAACTTGTTTCTTCATCAAGTTCTTCAATATTTAATTTACAATGTTCAATACCACAATACTCCATAACTTCCCAATCTCGAGTTGTCACAATTAATGTACTACCACTCATAGCAAATATATCATCTAAATGCACAACATCTTCAATTTGACTTTGTTTTATCACATTGTCAAAGACTATGATGACACTTTTCTTGATCATAAACAACTTTAGTATTTCTTGAGCTTCTTTCAAATCCTTTGGTTTTGCTTCAACTTTCAATTGTTCTAAGATGTGGCACAAGCTTTTATAACAATCACTACTACTTTCATCACACTCAACAAAGCATGAGGTATCATACATATCCTTCATATTATTCAATGTTGTCTTTGCTATTGTGGTCTTGCCTATTCCTCCCATTCCAACAAGACACAATATCTTACTTTGCTTGTACATAAGTTTGATATCTGCAATAAGCATTGCTTTCTATCAAGCACTTCTTCTTCAATCATATCAACCTACAATCAGAAACTAAACTAAACATCAATACAAAGAATGATATGAATACACATAAAGTACATACTATGTTTCAATCTAGATCTTCAAACTAGCACTCTGTTCAAAACAACTAACCATTACTACATCATGTCATTTTGTGTATAATTGAAAGCTTTAAATAATCAAATCTCTTCCACACATTCTTACCTCATTTAATAGAACTGGTTTTGGGACAAGCACTTTATTCAAAGTTTGCTGTATTTCTAAATTTTAATGAATATTATCCTTAGATGTACCATAATATGGTGTTTTTGCTACAACTCCATCTATAATCTTTTTCTTCAATATTACAAATCTTTCACAAATGTTAGCAAACTTGGGTCGATGCAATGGATTTAAGTTCCAATAATCTTTGATAAGCTCCGCCAACTCATCATAATTCATAGGTAATTCAAGTCTCTCACCTCTTTCTATTCTTTCCAATATCTCTATTCTCTTACAATCATCAAATGAATCTCTTTTGGAAAGAGTCTTGCAAGACACGATTGTCAATGAAAACACATCTACATCAAAAGAACACATTGTCATTATTTCACTTTTATTCTTCAATACCTTTGGAGCCATGTAGGTTGTACTACCATAAAAGTGTTTCATTCTTAGTAATAGATGCATTATCAATCTAAAATTTTCAAAATTTTCTTCTTCATTTGAAAGAATCAATCTTTCATATAAATACCTTTCATCAGCTTCTACTTCATCATAGGTTGCAATATGAATAGTATCAAAAACTTTCTCTTCAAACATTTTACCAAAGTCTTTCAAAAGTACATAAGTTGCTACTTCATAAGAATGGTATCCTACACAATACATGTATCACTCTCACAATACATCTTTAGCCTTAGAAAATGTAGGGCAATGCTTTTATCTGATCCATTCGTAAGTGTACACAAGGTGCTCAAACGAGAGAACCTATAATTCACTACGATAACGCCCATCATGTCACTACGTCACCTAATGCATTGGCGTACCCATTGCAAATAAGATGCAAATTCTGCGTTCTATACAAGTAGCTTCGGCACATTTTACTATGATCTCATACATCTGCACAAGCATTTGAAACATGCGACTGCCCACAATATTCACCTAAAAAGAAAGTGTGTCTACAGACGGAGCAGTCGACGCTGGTGTGAACGGTAAGTGTAAAGGATACCGCACATGCACTAGCGGAGGAGGAAATCTGCTCATAAACAAGCTCCCAAATAAAAAAAATCGTAGTCACATCAGCTCCACTTACGTATTCCTGGAACTTCCGTAAAACCGGACGTCGTGATAGTGAGAAATTATAATGATCTTTCGGAAAAGACAATTGCGCAACTCAACGTCATCGATGAGAAACTACGAACGTGAATGAAGAGTAAACAGTACAACCCTCTGGTTGAAAGACGTAACAAATTTTGGAAGCCACCCATCCGTGAAATTCCCGAGCACAGATTTCGACCACATGTTCATTACGGACGAGATGCAGATTATGGAACTACCCATGTGAAACGGGAATCAGTATAGTGACTGTTTCTATCCAAGCACCAGTTTTTCAACCCAATGAATTATGAAGCCATGAAGGCTTGAAATTCCATGGAGTAAATGATTAAACGGTTAACTAACTTGATTTTCTCGTCCAATCCCAGACAAACTACAAAATTGTTTCGATCAATATGGGGAGGGAGGTGCATCAGTTGAACTGGATATCAAGTACGATAAGGAGTCCTTGCTGAATTGAGCTCCTGCCTCGTAAAAGTTTAGGATTCAATGTCACCAGCTCAGAACTTCAATGACTCAGAAAACCTAAAATTGCTTCAAACCAGAAAGTAGACTGTCGGCAGAAAGAATCCATGTTTGTGTTTCCAAATAGCATGATGCAGGGATAACCTGAAATGATCTGTGACTGCTTTTAAGCTAGGTAGGTATGTAATTGACAAACATATAGCTACCCACAGCAACAAAAGTGACACGGTACAGATCGATAGACCCTCGCTCCCAATAAAAAAGTACACTTGCAAAAAAAATAAAACGAAATTGCATACAGACCCTCCTAACTAGAAACGAAGTGCTGATGTCATAACGTATCAACCTACGATCACTTAAGTTTCAGCTAGACCTAAGAATATGCATTTGCAAAGTAGGACCTAAGTATTGGAAACAATCAAAGTTGGGAAGCATGCGGCACACCAACCCGGGGCTGCCAAGAGATCCCCAGAACGCCATGAAATCAGGCAAGTGGAGGAGTGTTAAGGAGTTAACAGACGAGGAATATGAGAGAGCAGGTTCGGTGGGAATTGTGAGCTCCGGTTCACCGCACTAGAGAGAGGAGGGAGCACTGTGCAGAAACAAAGATCGAAAGAGCAAGAGCAAGAGAAGAGAAGAAAGGGTGAGAAGAGCATGCACACATACCTGGGAGGCAGGCAGGCAGAGAAACGGGAGGCGAGGGAGGGGGCAGGTTCCAGTGCAAGTGACGCGGGGGTGGAGATGGTAGTGATGCGTTCGTTAGATTGCAGGCATGGGGAAGAGAAGGGGTGGCGAGAGTCACGAGAGGAATAAAGAAGAAGCAGGAAACGGAAACGAGCGGAGGGGGAGGAGGGCATGGCAGTGCAGGTTTAGAGGGAAGGGGAGGGAGGGATAGGGTTAGGGAGGATTAGGGTTAGGGAGGAGGAGGTGCATCTTGGAAGCTGTCAAAGCTGCAAGACTGGGTGAGGAGGCGCAACAAGACAGATGATAGATGACAACTCAAAACACATTGATTTTAAATAATCTATATAGTCTATTTAAATAGTATATAACTTTTGGTTTTTTAGTTTTATATTCTATGATTAACTGAATATAATATTGTAAAATAAATAAAATTTTTATATCACTTTCATATTTTACTAAAGACATTCAGATTTAATGTGCATTCATAATAAATACGTAATTTAAACCTTGAGCTTTTCAATATAATATGGTACTTAATCTAAATCTATTAAATATATAAACTTCATAGATAAATTCTTATTTTTTACTCTTATATATATTTCAATGAAATTGCTAAATTTTCTTTAATATTATTATCTTGTAACATGTTGCATAATCAAGTACAATTAAGAATAATTTACAAAAAAATATCAAAGGAATTAAACATTATTGTTCCAGTTCTTTTCATAACTACTTGATGAAAAGTTTCATAACGACAATTAAGTATTAATTTCTTATATTTTCTAATATATAAATGCATGTGCTTAATTAAACATAGTGGTTACTATAGCATGGCAACTTTTAAACACTTGGCATTGTTACAAAATTTATAACAAACCTTATAAAACTATTCAAGTAAATCTTATAAAAACATATTGATTTTTTTTTTAAAAGTTTGAATTTATAAAATTCATGGTCTTACCAATAAACTATTCAAAATTAAAAATAAATCATATATATTTTTTAGAATTTATGATTTATTTAAAAGTAATTTTTGTGTTATGTATATATACAACCTTCCTATTATTTAATTCAATGTGATGCATTTAATGTTTACATCTGTAAATTAATTTCAATAGCATGATATAAATATTTTTTTTTAAAAAATATTGCTGTATTTTTTTGTGGATTGATAAAACTTATTAAAATCTTATAATTTTTTTCTACTATATATATATATATATATATATATAATTTTTAAGATATATAGATTATCTAGGATCTATTAACTTATTCATAATTTAATGTTATATTGTATGAATTATATGCTTACAAAGGAAATTCGTGATTGTTAAGATAACAAAAATAAAGTATGTTGTAGTTTAGATGTAAAAAAAAGAAACTAAGATCAAAGTTATCATGCCTAAATTATAATCTATAATATATTTAATGAAATAAAATTATTATTTATAGAAACAAGGGTGGAGTGGAGTGAGGAGGCACATAGTGGTGACAAAGAAGATAGACATGAGGTGACAAGGTTAAGATTGGGAGAGTGGACACATGGTGGTAAGATGGAAATATAGAAGGTGAGGATAGGGTTGTAGAGTCAAGGTATAGGAACAAGAAACATTGGATGGAAATGGGATAGAAGACACGAGTCTTATACAAAAATGAATCATGAACTAAGAAGAGAGGTGTGGCTTTAAGAAAGTTGGATTGTGGCTTTACGCTAAATTGAAAACTCATGGATATTAACAAATACTTATACTTTGTGATGCATCTAGAGAATTCAAACCTTAATTAAATAAAAATATTTAAAGAAGACTGATCTTATAAAATTAGAATAAGATCATTGGTCTGGAAAGTGAAAGCTCAATAATTAAAAAATTAATAATTTAGTTGAAACATGATATATGTGGTATTAAAATTTTATTTGGTATCAAACCAATGGCATTGGTCCATTTGTTTTGTAAAATAAGCTATCATCACCAAATTCAAGATTATTGAAAATTTTCATATATGAATACTTAAAAAAATATCCATATAAAAATTAAAATATATATATATATATATATACATACATATAGTAAAAAAAATACAAGCTTACATTTACTTTTAGCACCATTAGATTGTGAAATGTCAAACTATTAATAAAATGATGTATTCCTTCAAAAAAAAAACTTTTTCTAAATTTAACACATCAAATATATATTTATTTTTAAAATTATTATATAATAATAATAATAATTTTTATTATTTTTATCATTTTTTCTTTTCTTTTTATTTTAAAATTTTTAATTTTAGATTTTATGTATTTTGGATTAAGATCTTAAATCAAATATTTTTGTTTTATTGATGTGTTTTTACTTATAAATAATTCAATTGTACACTTGGTTTATCTCAATTCTTCATTTACACTTTAATGTAAAATAATTCTATTCATCTTCATGTAAAACATATCCATTGTGATGTGTATATATATATATATATATATATTTAGGAACTTGTTAAAGCCATAGTTTGAGTTTATTAAAGCCACATCCCTCTTCCCACTGAATGATTGATTTTGTACAAGTTCCATGTCTTTGACGTCATTCTTATCTTGCCTCTTTCCATTTTTATATCTCATTTCCATCCATCCTCTCTACCTCAACTTTGCCACCTTGCCTCTACTTCCATTGCTTCAACCTTGTCACCCCATCTCCACCCACTCTATCTCTACTCCCATCCTCAACTCATACAACAAAATAATTAATTTTAAAATTTAATAAGTCATATTTTTATTTTTTATGCATGTTATTTCTTTTCTTTTCTTTCAATGATTGACATTAATCTGATAAGCTATGTTTCAAATGATTAAATTCATCAATAAAATAATTATATAATAAAAATAAAAAATAATTCATTTAAAAAGTTTATTTATATTATTTGATATAGTTTATTTTCTTTGTGTACTTGATTTACAAAATATGTCTCATATCTTTAAAATACTACTCAAGTATTAGAATTGTAAAATCCAGCCTATCAGGAATAATATAATATTTTAGGTATAAAGTTATAGTAAAAAAATGAAAAAATCAAAAAAAAGATATATATATATATATTTTTTTTTGTTGATTTATCATATTCACAAAGTTTGAGCTTTTAGTGTGTATATATATATATATATATATATATCTATATATTAAATTTATAAAAAATATAATTTATTTATTTTTGAATATATCATATCAAATGAAGTACCATTTTCTAAAATTCTTTGTAAAAAATAATTTCTAAAATATCTAAGATATATTTTTATGTTTTTCTTTTCTTTCTTCATCTTCAATTCATATCTTTTTAAATTTTTTCATGGTCAATTTATTATTAGATTATATAGTTTATATTATTATAAATAAAAAAGCTTTAGAAAAAAATGGATGACATTAAAAAAAATTATTAAGCTTGATTTTTTCTAATTACTTCCAAATTTTATTTTAAAAAAAAAATACTTCTTCATGTAAGAAGTAATATAAAGATTTTATTTACAGGTAAATAATTTAGTTGATTTACAAGGTCTAATGAATGAAATATGTTCAAGGTCCAGAGTTTTTAATATTCCCATATAAAAATTCTTGTCTCGTATTTTAAAACATAGATAGGGACGAAGTAGAGATGGAGAGGGCGGGCACAAGATGGAGTGAAAACCAGGGAGGTGGGAATAGAATATAGGAATGAAGGGACATGAAATGGAAATAGGATCAGAGATATGGAACTTGTACAAAATCAATTATTAAGTAGAAAGAGAGATGTGGCTTTAACAAACTTAGGATATGACTTTAATAACTACTTTTGTATGTATATATATATATATATATATATATTCACATATAAGAAATTGTTAATGCCACATCGCCCTTTTCATCTCATGATTTATTTTGTATTTGTTCGTTGTCCCTGATCTTGTTCTCAATCTTTTTTGCCTCTCTACTCCACCTCAAGCTCTCTTAATTTATAACTTTTTAAGCTATAACATATATAAATAATATATAAAATAATTTTACATTATTATTTTAGATTTTTTTGGTCATAAAAATAATTATTTATAATAATAACATTTTTGGAATTATTCTTAGTTCGATTTAAATAATTAGTTTTTATTTACATGTTGATTGGTTAATTAAAACATTTTAAATTTCAAAATTTATACATATATCCTGAAATCTATTCTTATGAAAAATTCATATTTCTAAAGTGTTATCTTAAAATAAATTATATAAGATATTTTACAAATACAAAAGATTAAATATTTTTATTTTTATTTTTATATTATAATAAATATTTAATATTATTTTAAAGAATTAAAGACCATTGTATATTTAGCTCAAATGTTGTATCAAAAAATATAAAATATAATTATATTTTTAAAATTTTGAATATATCTAACAATATTTTATATATTATCTTAAAGATAAATATTAATAAATAATATTTTAAAATTTAGTTTAAATATTTTAAAATTAAATTATATATTTAAAAATATTTAATATTAATAAATAAAATAAAATAAAATATATTTTTATTATAATTCTTGTTATATTTGGAATTTTATAAGTCATCTTATTTTGGATTTAAAACCATAAATCACTAGACATATTTCATTAATTACTATCATTTGAAAACTTCTTGAATCAAATTATTTTTAAATTTAAAATTCAAAATTTTTAAAGATGTATTTAAATATATATTTAAATATGTATGGATATATATATATATATATATATATATATATATATATATATATATTCTATTATGGACCTAGCAATTGTTGGTTATCTCTTGTAATTCTATGATAATGCTTCTACTCCAACAAAGAACATACATCGTATTATTGACCTTCTATTATTTGCACCTCCAATCCAATTTGCATCACAATAATCATGCAATGTAATATTATTTCGTCCAAGACACAATTTGAAGTTCAAAGTGCCTTTCAAGTACCTCATAATCTTCTTGATGTTTGTCCAATAGATTGATCTAGCCTTTGATATGTATTGATTTACAATACTTATCGCATATACAAGATCTATTCTTATGCCAATCATTGCATTCATAAGTAAGCTTTCTTCTACCTTGTATGGAATATCTTTTATTTTATCTTCAACTTCAGTAAATTCTTCATTTAAGAACTTTATCAACTTCAAATTGACTTTCAAAGGTGTTTCAATGGACTTGCACTTTTTTATGTTGAATTGTTTCAATATCTCTTCAATATATTTACTTTGGCTCATTATAATGGTAATGTTAT